CTGAAACCAAGAGTAGATCGCTTAACCAGCAGTGCCACCCAGGGTCCCCCACAAAGGGCAACCTTGAAAGATGTGTGTTAAAATGTTTAATTATCATGTAGAAGATAATCACATGACTTAGAAATGACTTATTGGTTAAGTGACTGTTGCTAGAGAAATTGATGTTCTGAGGAAATGAGGGAATCACATTTGATCACATAAGCTGATCAGTTTTGTTTGCTGTAAAAAGCCACGGTAAGACAGATTGTTGTGTACACAAATCAGACTTGGTGTGATCACTGTGAGTGGCGAGGTTGAATCACCTTATAGTTAAAAATAAGGACATTTGAATTAGACTGTATATTCCAACTTTGGCTATGGCTCATCTAGCTCTGTACTAACTATGGGAAAGTTACTTAAATTCTCTAAACCCCAATTTCTTCATTTATAGATTTGAACTAAGAAAGGAGTTAGTGTGAGGATTAAAATAGATTGTGTGTATAAATCCCTTAGAACATGCATATGTAAGTGTCCAATAGATGTTAGTATGGTAAGTGAGATTTAACATACTACAGGATAGAACGTTTCTATGCTAACTGTATGGTGATATTTTACAGATATGACTTGGAAATTACTGTTAGTGGTATTTCCCAACATAAGTTCTCCTTCAAGGGGAAGCAATGTTTTCCATGGACCTTAGGAGTAACTAAGTCTGTAGAGTGACCAAGCAGCCCATAAGCTACACTGTGGTGACAGATGCTAGATTTACTTGCCTCACTTTCATAGATGTGTGAGACAATGAGTCCAGATGAAAATACAAAGTTTATTACTCATGTAGCAGTTTTGTAGACTCATACAGAAACCTATGGCTGTACCCTAACATGAGGACAAGGTAGACATGCATACTATTAAAAATAGGAATAGGGATGAGAAATGATTTTGTGAAAATCTCCCATTGAATATAGAAAAACTGTAGGCAACGGAGGTTTGTTGGGATGTCTGCCGTTGATTCGGGAGGAATTGAATGCCATTCCACCAAAACTGTGACCAAGCATTGCCTATGTGGTCGATGTGGTGACGTGTAAAGTGTCTAGGATGCCATAGTAGACCTATGATCCTACAATGCCAATTAGATTCAGAAAAGAACCAAAACCTGGGAGAAATTATTGACCTGCTTCAACCTTAAGAGTTTCCCAAGTTAGATGTGTACTGTTATAAACACAATATTATGGTGACAGAGTCAAGAGATGGTGTTTCCAGAGTGCTAAGTGATTGATGAGAGCTTTTACCTGGACTTTGTTAATTCATATGCACCATTGTCTCTCTCTGTTTCAAGGGCTGATATGATATAAAATCCAGGCAAGAACCAAGGTGTGGTATAGGGGAAAAAATCATAGGGTGGATAGATTACACAAGCTGTTCAAAGTCCTAGTGAAAAATACACTGTTAGATTTTCTCCAGATTTTGTGATTCTTTACACTGTTATTTTATTGGGAAAAAGTTTACAATTGAAGATTGGGATTGCATCAGGATTCCTTCTATAATAAGTCTGAAATTAGGATATTTTTAATGTAACACAATTTATCTGAGAATCTTAGTTATAAATAATGCAATTTTACTCAGCATGGTCCCTCTGCACATTTTTTTCTCTAGGACCTGAGATTACATGAGTACATGGGCATTTGGAGGAAATTTTCACTGGGAGCATGAATCTAGCAGAATGAGATACATCAAAAATTGAAAAAAATGCCTCAGTAAGATTGAGTGGCTTTCCTTCTCCTCCTCAAAACGTACATTCCATCAATACTAAATACTCGTTTTTGGACATGTCCACTTTCATGTACTTTTGGGCAGGCTACTCTTTCTGCTCAGAATTAACCTTTCTCGAAACCATATAAATTTTATGAATGCTTACTTATCATTCAGAATTATCTTAAATTCATAAATACATTCTTCTTCCTAATTTTCTCACCCGATAATCCTGTCTCCTGTGCCTTGTATATATTTCCGTTATCATGTTTACCACACTAAACTGTATTATTTCTTTTTACATATTTATATGTGTTTATTAACCATAACATCTTTGAGCTCCAGTTCATGGTTCATAGTTTTGTATCCTTGGTATAGAATTCTTTAAATTTTCGTTCAACTGAATTGAACTGAATTGAATTTATTGGTTGTGTATTTTTCTATGAAATCATCTGCACTCTTCTCTCATTTTCCTTCTTACCAATGGCAGGTATGTGAGAGATGGACAGGTTTAAGGGCATAGTCTTTCGAAATGGAGCAGAACAATGTTAAATGAGCCACAAAGAGATCAATTCCTACAATTAGACCACAGAAGCCTAATACTCAAACCAACAAGCACACCATCTTGAGGGCTGAAATGAAGCTAGAAATACATTTTCTCTTTCTTTGCTGTGGCTTGGCCTGTAAGAGATCTGTATTTCCAGACTTCTAGAAAAGAGTAACTATTAAGGTACAGTAATTGTTACTGGCAAAGTGATTCACCTGTTTAGGGGAGAAGGTAAAATTAATATGAATGAAATGTATTTTAAAGTCATAAAACAATTCAAAAATTTAAGGAACTAGAGTAAGATTGAAAATAGTTAAAAATGTGAACTATTCAAAGGAATTTTATAATATCTGTATTTTCAATTTCATAGTAGAATCATTTAGTTTAAAATGTTCATAAGAAAAAAATAAAATGTTCATAAGTTCATACTACTTTATAATTTGGACTAGCAATAAATTGTCCTAAAAAGTCAGATGAATAAAGGTTATGGACTTTCTTCATTCTATGAGGTGCTTTCAAGGAAATACATTTTTTTTAACGTATTTATCAAGAAAGTAAACAATCATCTCATAATAAGAGCTTGGTGGAATTAAGATTTTGTGTTATATATTTTACTTAATATTTGCCACTGTGGAAATAAATTCAAAGATGGAGTTTTTCACTTGGGCTGGTCGTTTTTTCTCTGGTGGATCAAGTTTTGGCTAAAGATAAACGGCCTAATGGATATTTTAACCTTCTACGGATGTTTTCTGAAGTTGTCAGATAATAACGATCACCAAGAATACATGTTATGCATGCAGATTATCAGTTTTGATGAATTTGTGTTGGACTTTGTGAATCTGCCTTTTTAAATATGGAACCCAGATGATTCTTAGTTTTCAACATATTTGAAAACTACATCATTATACTATCTCAGTGAATGAAATAATTTGGAACTTTTGCAGGTCTTTTTGGTCATTACACATCATCTTTCCCCTTGAAATATTTACTTTCCTCTCCAGATTCATCTTTCACCACTTATCTGTTTTCTGAGGATGAGTCACATCAAAGTACCTGCATGCTCCCTTTTTCCCTTGTCCGTGTTGTTTTCTGTGCTTTAAATCCTGGGACCTATGCATGCCCTCATGTGGCTGACCCCATCTGCCATCTGAGACTTAAATCAAGGGTCTTCGAGGCATAGTTCCTTGACATCCTGTGCCTTATGTCTGCTATGATGTGCAGCATTCTTCATAGCACCCTTTTATTTTAAATCTCCCCAAGTAGACCATGAGATTCTTGTGGTCAGGCAAATTACTAATTACATGTTCCCAGATGAACATAAATCTAACATCTACAATAGATAACAACAACAACAAAAAGTTTGCCAAAGGAATGAAGAGTACAAATTCTTTAGGTTCTATGTTTAGGCTAGTTTTATATTAGTTAAGAGATCATTAACACAAAAACATTTAATTAAGTAGTTTTAAAAATGATCAAAATAATACATATGCATGTAGTGTAAGGTATTACAAATTAAAAGTATATCTTATCATCTACGATTCACAATAGATGACCACTATTACTAGTTTCTTGATTGTAGTTCTAGAAATGTTAATATACGTAAAGCATGCATATGGAGATATATATGCATAAATATCTAAATATCCCTATATATATATATGTTCTTGTTTTATGCACACTTTCATACAAATAAATTAATTCTATATTTATGTCTTGGAGAACATTTCATATCAGCTTACATAAACCCACTCATTCCTTTTATTGGTTATCCTATTTTATGCATGTGACATGATAAAGTCACTTAATCCCCTCCCGCCAGATATTCCGCTTATTTTCATTTTTTTCATTATAAACAATACTGCAGTGAATGTTCTTGCATCGAAATCTTTGAGTAATTTTTTTTTTCACTATGGACTTCGGATAGATTTTTCTAAATTAACCCCGAGAAAGACTGTCACAATTTATACTCCCCTAAAGAAGATGAGAATGTCTGTGTCTCCATGCTCTCATTAATTCTGTATTACCCAACTTATATATTTGGGTGACTCAGGTGTTTTAAATAGCATTTATTTACATATGAGTGAACATGAGTTTCTGTGCATGTGTATTAAGGATTTGTATTTCTGAAGTACGTTGGTTATGTATTTTCTTCTATCTTAGATACTATTACATCTCAGTTTTCCTTGGCTCTACGGCTCTCTCAAAGTTTATTTTTTCATGATTTTGATTGCTAGCTCTCTGCTCATTTCTGAAGCCTTAGTTCTCATATTTTATCTTTTAAATATACCACACTGTTCTTCAACATTTGACTGTCTGAAACTTACGTCTATGGTTTATAAAACGTCTGCCGTTTTGCATTATACCCGTTCTATAGCTTTGGTTTTCACCACCTGCCTACCTAGAGTTAGTAATGCTTATTACCTATTCAACAAGTATAGAAAAACTTTTAAAGTTAAGAAGTGTTCTAAGTTGGAGGTACATAAAGAATATTTAGAGTGGAAGGTACAGGCTTTCAGTTATGGAATGAATAAGTCATGGGGATGAAAGGCACAGCATTGGGCATATAGTCAATGGTGTCGTATTAGTGTCGTATGGTGACAGACGGTAGCTATGCTTGTAGCGACCATCGCATAATGCATAGACTTGTCAAATCCCTGTGTTGTACACTTGAACCTAATGGAACACTGTGTGTCAGGATTACTCCAATAAAAAAGAATATTTGTTTAAAAATATAGCCTGCTTCTTGATTTTGTGTGTCATCCCTGCACAAGGGCCATGCTAATCTCTGTATTGTTCTAATTTTAGCATCTGTGCTGCTGAAGCGGGCACTGGACTGAATTTTCCTGATCACAGAGTTATCTATTCTGGTACAATCTGTGTATGTACGTCAGTATTTGTATGTGTGTTCCAGTACTTAATTTAACTTGTTGTACTCCCAGCTAAGCGTTTTATCTATCGGAGTTGCACTGAGGAAAAGCCTTGAAATAACTTGCATTATCACTGTTGTGTATGTTCTAAGTTTTAGCATATTTCATCCGTCTTTATCAAATCCTAAAATAATAGAGTTAAACTGGAGAGAACTTCTAGTTATTCTAGGGTTTTGATAGTTTTTTAATATGGAGTGTTACACGTGTCTTAAAATATCAGATCGGTTGCCATTAGATATCTGTTACCTGCATTATAAAGTTTAGCATCTTGCTCTTACCACCCTGTTTTTAAAAGTGTATTTTAAAATTTTGCATCTTAAAATATTGATGCTCACACATTAGCTTCCTTTAAATTAGAGTCACAAGGAATGTTTATGTCCGTTAGCTTTGTGCATGGGTGTCTCTCTCTTTCCTTCTCTTTCTGTCTGTGTGTGTGTGTGTGTGTGTGTGTGTGTGTGTCTGTCTGAGGAAGTCAGGAACAGAAAGCAAGAGGAGACAGGTAATTGACCTCTTGACCAAGTTGTTGTGTTTGGTGAGGTTGTACCACATTGCCCTTGTGAGATTTACAGTAAAAGCCGAGCAGAGGTCTGGAGTAGAGGGACTAACAGTGTTAGGACCAAAGGCCTAATTGTCTGTTTTCTTGAAGTTAGGGTTATTGGCAGCTGCCATTACACCACCCGTGCTGCTGTCACCCAGCACAGCCAACCAGCATGCACTAATTGCAGTGGCCTTTTCATCAAGTAAGATCATCCCACTAAACACAAAGAGCTGTCTTTCCATTAGCACAGACAGTAGCCAGCTAGATCAGCTGGGCTCCTTGAGTATGATTGGACTGTCATATTGTTATGATTTGTTCAAGTTTAGAGCATTTAGCAGATACCCTTTGCACCTCTCTTTGTACCTGAATACTATAACCTGACTGCCCCTATCATTTAAGAGGGTACTATAGCTTTTCAAAGTTCAGCAACGCACAATTGCAGGCAGGCAACTGGTTTCTGACAAGAGATCAATACTGTCCTTCCAAACGCTGGAGTCAAGCTGCTGGGTCTGTCAGAGGGATGTGTGCTGTAATTGGATCATGGATGCTGCGAGTCATCTGAGTTTCCCTTCAGCACTGTCACAGCTGTCAGATGTCATCCCTTTGTACAGCTGTCACTGCGGGAGGGTTGGGGCTCTTTTTCCGTTCTAACCCAATGCAAATGTCCACTTAGCAGATGAATATTGAAGATATTAGACATTTCTTTATGCCTTTATGCAAAATAAAGATCTGTGTCATCTGTGAATTTCATGGAAATAAGTTGCAATTTATTCACTGTGAGAAAAGTGAAGTGAAGCCTGTAAAAATGAGAAATTATTTGGTTCAGGCTATTAAAAAAAGGAATATTTTACAGAATAAACAACAATGTGCAGATATTTTTCTTGAGATGGAAAAACTAATAGTGTGAAGTATTTAAATGGTCACCTTATATCTGGAAGATCTTTAAAAACATATACATACCTTTTACTTCCTCCGTCGTCTTAGAAAAGAGACAAAACTTGGGTAGATTTAAGTTCCTTTAAATCATTAAAATTTGTTGAAAAATATAAGCGGAGTATCCCTTACTGTGGCAATATGATCAGATTTAAGGAATGTAGTTACATTTAGAATCAGGTCAAGGAGTCTCAAGAAAGTTTTTAAGACCGATGGGACAATCTCAATGAAATGAGTATGATGTGTTGGCCACAAAATCATTATTTTTCTAAATGATTACAAATGGAAGGGAAGGACATGTCCATAGTGGGCAAAATAATTATATAACTAATGAGTGGCTTCTATCAATTTCAATGACTTTTGTTTTTGTTTAAACGAAAAACAATGTCCAAAGAGAGTGCATTTTATTTTCCCGTAATATACTTATGACACTCTATTTTTAGAATGAGATGAATGGTTAACTTTGGAATCGCATAACTTGAGTCAGGTACATTTGCAACACGTAGCAAAAATAAAGAGACGTTGCTAATGTGGCTTTGGCAATCACGGGTCCCTGAATTTCCCTAGACTATCCCGGAATAAAGTACAATTTTCATTTTTTTCACCATTTTTTTTCTGCCTCTCTAAGCTGATGTCAGAATCATTTTTGGATGGCCGACAGAGTAATTTTTGATCTGGGTGGCTGACTTCCTTTTTCTTGAGGTCCAGACCACACACCACCTTCTCTGTCAAACAGGCAGCTTGCGCGAGCCCCACTGACAGAGTAGCATGGACCTTATTTTCCAATATCTAACCTTAACGTCCTGTCATCCACCAGGGAATTACACTGGGTCAGCCCCTCAAAATATCTGAATTTTTTGCCTCCATCTGGCATGATGAAGTGACCTCCCCTCCTGTGACATGGCACAAGTTTTTTAGAGCCTAAAATTAGTGGCTGCCAAAATCAAAACATATACGTTTGGTCCACATTGTGCGGGACGGCGGTGGGAGGGGAGGGGAGCCACAGCCGGCAAACACATCCACTGCTTTCATTTAAAAGACGGTTATGTTCGAAACGATTATAACATCCACTAATAAGGAAAAGAAGTCACATTTCCTCTGCCTCAATTGGCATTTTTCTCCCAATGTGATTTTACTTTTACAGGAAACAGGTTAAAATCCTATGAAAATTAAAATGTTTAATCCAATGAAATGAATGATTTAACAATCAACACTTAGTTGACTATCACTGGTATAGTAAAACGGTCCTTACCAGTCACTTGGGCAGAAAATATAGGAATGAGTGAAGTAAAAATTTTAAACTTAGTTTCTTAAGGTTATTCTTCTGTGATGATAACTGTGAACTTTATATGCAACTCTAGTAACTCAAGTAGGCACTCCTTTTTTTTTTTAACATGGTTTATGGCTAATTACATCAGAGATCCAAAACACTCTTTTTTTACATTTGCATTAATAAGGGTGTCACATGACCTCACTGAAGTAGAAGTATACATCAAAGGTAGATTAAAGGTTGGTTAAGCATCAAACCATGTTCCGTATGTAAATTTATAGCAATGATGTGCTGTAGAAAGATAGCTTACCCTCTATTTCTCTGCTACTAAATAAAATTAAAAATTCACAACTCTGGTTTATGGGATTTTAAATGAATTTGATCTCTCTTTTGGGCAGGGCAAATAAGTGTTTTGTGATGTATTATTTTATAAAAAAAAAAAAAGACCATCGTTCTGGCTCATTTAATTTTGCGAGTGAATGATCTAAGATTAACTACAGACTAGTCAGTGCAGTTTAAAAGCTGAAAGCAATTTTCAGCCATAGATGGTAATGCCACATTCAGTCCACAACCGAATGACTCTAAATGACTAAGCTTCGAGGTCTTTGTATATGACCACAGGGCCTGATAAAGCCATAGGAACACAGTAAAAGCACAAAAATAGTTCCAATTTATTTGGTGCCATCACCTTAATGAGATTAATACAGACGTGTTCATGTGCCTAATTGGTGATTTTGTTTTAACTAGTAATGAAGGATTAAAACTTCAGGCAACAGGCGGCTTGCTGGAGAGGGGATTTGAGGGGGAAAAGTTTTTAATTACAAAAGGAAGCCAGTGAAGTACACCACCGCAAAGTTAATAATAATTCTTCCAAAGGGGAAAAAAATACCTGATTAAAATATGTACTCTGGATTGTTCTTGCCATTTGAGGAGAAAGGGTGATTTTATGAGCAGCACCACATACTGCTTTATTTACCAACAGACCATTTGGCATACAAAACATATAGAACTGTTACTTCTGGGGAAAAGGCATTAAAATGGAAAAGCATTGGCCCTCGGGCTACTGTGGAATTTCAAGTATGTAGGACTGTAATCTAATTTATTCGTTTAACAGTGACTGCAACTGGATGACCTGTGGCTAGCTGTCCTGAGTCCCACAGCATCCCAGTGAAGCCGAGCGCCTTCGGAGGGATGTCACCTATGGCTTGCAACGGGACTGCCCCCCTCAAAGTCTAGTTGTAACCGTTTAAATGCTAACAGTATTAAGCATGCTGCCAAAACACAAACACTCGGCCTATGTCATTAAAATTTAATTATACGGGGGCAGCTGAGCCCAGTCTGAGTTTTGAATCTGAAAAATCTTGTTAAAAAAAAAATAATAAAAATGAAAGTACCAACTAAATCTATTAGCATCTGTCTCCACCAGCCGTCGGATTATTTCTTTAAAAGAGAACTGCAGGCTTTACCAGCATTCAACAGCACGCTCACAATCTGCACGTTAAAACACATTTTGATTATTGCTCCTCGGCCACAAGCAGGCGAGGGGCCATTGTTTCATCTCCTCCTTGGTGGCGGGCGGGGACACGACCTGGGCCCCGTGGATCTGCCCGCGTGCCCTTATTTTTTTTTTCTTTCTTTCAGCACAAAGGGTAAAATACAGGAACTATACCCCTACACTGCCAACTGAATAAAACAGTATCATCCAGACAATTATTGGCACCCTCCCCCCGAAACTCTGCCCCACGCTGCCGTGTCATTGTGATCAGGGAAAGAGCCCTGAAATGCAAGAATTTTGTCTCTGATGTTCTATTATGAACCACTTTCAAAGGACTCTGGGTAGTGATACTGTGCAGGGTAAGATGCTACCTTCCCAGAGAATGAAGACAGAAATATATTTTACATTTCTTGTCAGATTGAACTTTAAGACATCCTGACTGCTTTCTCTATAATTTAAACATCACAGCCCAAATGGCAACATGCTTTGTTCAGTTCCAGTTGTGTGGAGTTTTAGTGCTTCATTGATTCCGAGGAAGTGTGAGGCTGGCACGGGGAGCAGGGCGTCAGAGCCGCGCTCTCACTGCAGCATGTCAAGCCATTATATCTGGGCCCGGAATGTCACCGTGGTCTCAATGGTTCGTCAGCTGAAGGATATGGTTAACAA